TAGACAGCTACATTTACCCTGAGCATTGTCAAGAATAACACAGGTATCAGCCTCCTGCAAGTTTTGTAACACGTTTTTTAATGCACACAGTCACAAAAGAAATCTCTGATGAAAACCACCTTGGGTCATGTGATTTATGGTGTCAAGATATTATTACAAAAACACTTCTTGAAAGGAGTGCTCTTTGACATCAAAGAGAAGGCTGGTAACAGGATCCAAAATTAAAACTGACATAGCACCAGTAAGCTTAATGGTTACACAAGTTTTTAAGCAGTTTTTTACTTGCTGTAACTTAATTATTATTTCTAATGCGCTGCCGTACATAGTGTTACAGACTATTTTCACACAAGAAGCTGGATTTGCAAGGAAATTCTACATTCTTGCTCTGAAAATGCACAGACAATGCAGATGAAAGAAAAGCTACAGGACACTTCACGCAACTGCAGCAAAGGGAAACAAAAACATTGCCACAATATTAAGCTGGCCAAACAAAAATGAAATTGGACCAACACAGCTAAAAAGTAAAAGCATCTTAGAAGGCTTTTTTGAGCATGACTGGTCAGACACACCACAGCATTTTGTTTGTATCCATACTCTCCACACCCACTACTAAAGTAATTCCCCAATATACTCTGTGTTGGCCCAAATATAAAAGCACAGGTGAACACACATGCAACATGAAAAATTAAATGGGGTTGGCAATAGCCACTCAGTTTGCCAGGGAACTTACTGGCTTGGATGGATGACTCAATAAAACTTCAGGGTGCTAAAGGGAGAAAGAAGATAGGAAAAGATGGGGAAAATTTGGGATAGGAACAGTGTGAGAGAGAAAAAAAACAGATGCAACAAGAAAAGAATTTAAAATAATAGCTGCAACATTAATTTAGTAAGATGACAGAACCTTAATTTGTGATTTTAGCATGCATTAATAGCCAGCTTTTGAAACGTCAAAAACATGAAGAGTTACCCTCATGCAAGTTCCAAACTTGGTCTTTGTTTCTCAATTTAACAGCTTTGTCCAGTCCTCAAATATTTAACATAGTCCTGTGTTTGGGTTTACACACGACAGTTTAACAGGTTGAGCATGACTTCTAGCACTTTCTAGTGCTTAACTTATACTAATTACAAGACAGCTAAATGGTTTAGAAAACTAATTCAGTAACTTACACTATGTGAACACTGAACACAATTGCTGGGTTTTTACTTCTATTTTTACATTACATCCTGATCTCCCTGGTAACCTTTTTCTTTCTAGGTGGCTACACTGAGTACATAATTTATTATCCCTTCTTTGAAAAAATAAATCATCAGCTGAGAACAAAACCCAGTATCTCTATCTCATCTACCAATATTATCAGTAATATTTGTCAGTTGTGGCAGGAAATCCATGTTGACAAAAACAAAAATCACCAGAGCCTGTATTAAACTAGCCGAACTAAATCTTGGGAAACATAGAATTTGGGTCAACACGTCATTCAGTCATTTTTTTCTGTCTTCTGAAAGATACTGTCCTCCTGAACTTGAAGGAAGATGACCACAGCAGAAAAAAATCCCCATCCTCTGAGTGAGCCTGTTGAATCTTGAGGTATTTTCCTGGCAGGGAATCACTGCTAACATTCTCTGCTGAAAAGTTCCTAGAACTGCACCAAGGGGAAGTTTGTTAACATATGGTTTTGGACTCTTTCTTTTCTCTAACCTTGATCCCTTTTAAATAAGGAAAATATCTATAGGGAGAAAAGCTATGCACGGGAAATGAAGACAGACAAAAATCCTCTCATCTCTGCTGGAACAAATGCTAATATTAGTTGGTCTCTTCCCAATTAGAAAAACAAAATGAAAGAAAGCATATTGGCTGAGAAAGGCAAGATGGAAAAAGCTAGGAAGAGTATCCTGAAGAAAAACAACTAGAAGAAAACTTTCACTTTAAAACTATTAAAATATTAGTTTGAAAAAATAGTTTCCTAAGGAAAAAAAAAAAAACCAACAAAACCCACACAGCATAAAAGTACTTCACAGAAAAACAGAGAGAGAACCCCTTGTGTGTGATTTCCCTCTAATGATTCCATCTCAGCAAAAAAGGAGACTATTTAAGGCAGGACACCAGGCCATGTAAACTCAACAGGGATTTAGGACTTGCTTTCAGCATTCAGAGTCTCCCACAGTATCTCCTGCTGGCAGCAGGCTGACAATTGAGCACAGAAGCAATGACAGTAGAATAATTAGAAGATTAAGCACACAGATTTGCATAACCATAGTAACGTTATTAAAAAAACCTAACCCCGAATATGAAAAACACTGCAGTTTTATTAACTAAGACAGAGATCAATATAAAATAGTCATTAGTAAGAAGAGGAAGAGTAACAATGAGAAGTGGACACCTTGAGTCGGACACTGGAGACTGCTTACATGGAAAGAAAAATAGTATCAGCAACTTTTCAGCATCCTGCACTCCACTTGGTTAATTATATTACAGCTTAGTATAAAGTTCTTCATATAAATAACTTCTACAGAAAAAGCGGAAGCTTGCACTGTTCATGATTTCTTAAAGGCTCACTGTTTAGAGATTAGCAAGAGTCTTTTCCAAGGACTGCCCAAATCTTTTTTATCTAATGGCTTAGCAGTAGTCCAATTCAGTCTCTTCTGTCAGCTTCTTAGCTCTAAGGCTAATAGATTTAACCAAAAATACTCAAACTGTTCAGTGGAAATAGAAGGCAAGGGAAACAAGACTGATATCAGACACATCTCCGTTCAAACTGTAAGGGAAACAACTTAAAAGAAAAAGCATTTTGCCACTTGCTGTTAAGAGCTACACAAGAGACCTTCCTGCATGTGTCTCCTGCAAAACAGCACTAAGATAATGTAGTAAAATTCAACATAATAAACCTCTAATTCAATTTTAAACTGAACACCCTCATGTAGCCCATAAGTTTTAAGGTTAATTGTGACAGTTATTTGAAATGGTTAACAATGCAGGTGCTAAACCTGAGTTTTCAGAAGCTTTAAATTGGAATTGTATTATCCATCATAATTGTTTCAGGGATGACAAGGAACTAATCCACCTTGAAAATGTCAAACTGCCTGAATAAATATCTGCAATGCATTTAAAGAGGGAAAGCCTTTTAAAAATACATTTTTCTACTTTTCTGCAAGTGACAGAAAAACATTGACGAATTAAAAACAGCTGGAAAAAAGGTTATTAAAGAACATCTAAATTTACTCATAAGTATAAAACATATTCAAGTGGTTGCTAACTATATTGTCTTGAGTAACTAAGAGTAACCGTGACTTGGTTCTAGAAAGCAAGGAGGATCAGTGGTAGAAGTGGGCTCTTTCATACTCTTTAGGGAAAGCAAATGCACAGTTACTTACATGAAACCATACCTGGGTCCTACAGCTTTGATTCCTTTATAAAAAGCCATTGTGGACCGACTTTTTATAGCCAAAAAAAAAAATTAAAATCTCTCCATTGAATTTAAATTTTCCCTTGAGTAAGAAGAATGCAGTAGCCCAACATGACACAGTATTTAAAAAAGGAACAAGGTATGGATGATTTTGACTCAGTAGGACTTGAGAGAGTACATTAGAGTCTCTGCGCAGGAAACAATTGTCCAAATGCCCTAGTAAGCAATAATGCCTGAAGCAAAGGAACAGATATCTAGAGTATTATGGAAGGGCTTTATACTGCACATAGGTAATGGTAGCTTGTCAATTTTCTTTGCTTGTAGAACTGAAACCATGTGGACTGAATTATTTAGGTAGCTCCTTTGGATGAGAAGATATGAATCTATTTGTGTTTACAATACGACGAATTTATACTCATTAATTTTCTCAGAATCAATTGAAGAATACCGTTATTTGTCCCATAGCTGGTCTGTACAATTAATAGTACTCTTTACATTTGACCCATTTTGCCATTTTAATTCACCCCCTTATTTATGTCCTAAAAAAAAAAGATTAGATTATAAAAATATATGGTCTTAAGAACTGGCTCAGTGTCCTTATGTAATGTTCCTGGATACCAGCTATTAAGCACAATCCTCTCTAAAATGGAATGAGCAGAGATAGGCCCGAAGGAATTATACCGAAGAGCTGTCATCGCAGTGCAAATTAACCGCATGTTCATCTCTTAGCATTGCCAGATTTTGGTTGACCTCCACACCCACTTATACTACTGATACACTCACTGCTTATAGTGAGGAAAGAGGTCTCAGGGGAAGCAGTGAAAAGCAGTACATTTACAAATGCTAAATATACAGACACATTCCCTAATTAATGGAATTTCTGCGACTGGTTTTTCATAATCTATTTGTTACATGCTCTCCCAGTTAGTCCAGTTAGTACTTTTTTTTTTTTTTTCTTAAAAGTAATTGTAACAATGTTCCCCACGCCAGCTGCCTACCTACAAACTAATACTATCATCCAATTGCCGCAACAATCTCTGGCAAATCTTAGCTACAATATATTCCTCAACTCATTATCAGTAACACATGACAAAGGGTGAAACTGCAATTCATTACAGAGACTTCAAATGAAAGGGTCCTTCAGGACTTCCGAAATACTCACTCACTGTACAGTACACTGAAAACAGCCTGCGAGACCAATTAAGTGTGCACAGCTACCATTTCTTGCTATTGTGCTTTGTTGATACTGAGTAACAGAACTCTTTTTATGTGTAATAGAATTAAAAAGGGCAAATATGGGTCTAGATAGGCATATATGGAGTTCCACTTCCACAGAGTTCTCAGGTGCATTCACACCCACCCTGCACCCACACAACAGAAATCCTAAACAGGTCTTAACTGATGACTCAAAATTTGATCTCATTTTCATTTGAGGAACTAGTACAGAGTACCAAACTACAGCACAGGCAACTTCACAGTTCTTGCTGAAAAGGAATTCACAGAATTCAAACTTAAGACCCAAAGTTTTCTGTGTAGACGTGGCCAATTTGTCTAACACCGAATGTTTACACCACACACGTAAATATGAAGTAAAATTACCTTCTTCAACTGAGTTTCCATCTTCAAACATTCTTCCTTTTTCTGTTCTAATGCAATTTCCAGTGTCTTGAGTCTTGAATCTTTCTTTAGTCCTGATGAAGCTAAGGATGAAGCATGTTCCTTCAGATCCAGTAAGGAAGACTAAAATAAAAAATATAAAATAACTATCAAGTAAATACTCCTTATGTGCAATAGCTAGCTCCTTTTTTGTCTTTATTTTCTTTCTATCCCTTCACACTATGTTCAGAATCCAACTTAGAACAATGTGTTTTGTCAGGATGTTCATGTCACTGACTTAAGACCGCTTGATTTAACCAGGTTTTCAAGATCAAAATAAAACCTTGTCTAAATTAATTTTTGAATAATTTTAAAATGTGGAAGATTCTGTAAACTGGAACTTGTGCTTCAGTGACAGTTCTGTTTAAGAAAAAAGTGGTTTTAAATAAAATTGTATTTGAAAATCATATGTGGTTAGCAGATGTGGACACTGTATCTATAACTGAGACCCTTCAAAACTTTTCTGTATGCTGCTGCTATGGGGTGAAATTGATTCATGCTACCGATCTTCAAAAGACTATCTTCTCAACTTCTTGTTTTCCAAACCATTTTTGTGTTTGTTTTTTTTTACTGTCAAATGTAGACTTCCAGGTAGACAAAGTCTTAGCACTTCCTGGGTGTATATTTTTTGTACTGTTTTACTTTGATTAAGTTTTGAAAAAAGATGTAAGTAGACTTGAATGTTGCAATTCCAAGAGAGGAATGGAGAACGTTTATATTTCTCTAATATAATTAGGTTAATTCATCTAGTCAACTGGCTCATTACCAACAACCAACTTAATTATCAAAAAAGGACTCTTCAGAGTCAAAAGAACTAGCTGTATTGTTTGCATAAAGGAATAAACATTATCTGCATGCTTTTGGCACCCACAGCTTTGATCAACCTCTGTCCTTTCCTCCCTATATTTAGACAGGAACAAGCTTGTTCTCTGCCTTCATTTGTCTATAAGCACAGCTCCAGTAAATGCTATCATTGACCATCAGTCGTCCACTGCTAATGCGATTAACTGCTGCAAACACGGGGACTGCGTGCTATCCATGAAAAGGTGGTTCTGAAATATTTATGCTTTGAGAAATTCTCAGACAATATATTTTACCAGATAAACTTGTTGAAGGACCATTACTACAAAGGATTAGGTTTTTTTTTTTTATCTCAAATGTAACACATACATATACCACAAACAAGTCTAACACAATAGATTCATTCTGCTGGTCAACCTCTTTCTCTGTGAGGTCTCCTTGTAAAATGCTGACTTTCTCTTTCAGGTCCTTAATGTCTTTTTTGTAGTTGTCGATCTCTTCCTGTTTTTCTCGTTCATCTCTGTCACGTTGCTCCTTTAGGCGCTCAATGGTCCTTTCCTGACAAAAGAAAGCACTCTGTGAAGAAAATCCTTCTTAGTCAGTTCAACTTCTGAGACTTCTTATACACTATAGACAAGGAGCGTAGGATACTGCCATTTTCATACCTTTAAGGTTGTAAACCAGATCCTCAAGAAGGAGGAAACTTGAGAAATCTATGGATTCATTGATAAGGAATACCAGGCTTTCTGTATCTCTGAAAGTTCACAGTACTGCTACAGTGCAACACAATTTATCCGGTTCTGATAATCAAAATTAACCTAGACCAGAATACATTACATATTGCTTCCTTAGTTATTTAAATCTTATTTTTCCAAAATGTACAGTTAAGTCTGTGGTCCTTCAGAGAGGAAGGGGTGTAGAGTGTATGTGACACAAGGATCAATATGCTGTAAGAAAAGGCAACACACCGAATTTTCGGTTTGTTATACCAGACATCGATGGAGCTTTGGCTATCTTGGAAGCTGATGGGACGCAATCCCCAATCAGCTTTACCATAGCTTTACATTTATAGAAACTGACAGACTAAAGGAGCTGAAACCCCAGTTCTCTGGCAATCAAGAAAAAATATACAGTAATTCCAAAAAGTTGCCCCACCAAAGCAGAATAGACAAGGCTGTTCCCTCAGTCAGTTATCTCCTAAGAAAGCAAGCATAGAAAAATGTTAGTTATCAGGATAACGATTCATTTTGATTCAGTATTGGGAACTACAAGTCCATTTCACACAGCAAAAACTTAAAAATAAATTTATCGTTAAAATAACTGAGCAAAGAAGATATAATAAAAGAAGACATTAGCCAGACTTTAAAAAAGAAAGATGGGGGATGGGGGAGGGGGCAGGTGTGGTGCACAAAGCAGAAGAATCCGCAGCTGAAATGTAAAGCATCGCACCAGAGATGCACCACGTAAAGAGACGACAAGGTGAGAACACCCATTTCTTTCACACAAACCGATGGTAAGTAGCTAATGACTACAACAAGAGCTTGTGGCTCGGCTCTTCCGCTGTGCCCTCCTCACCACGCAGGAGTCGCACCCTGGGCTGGCTCAGGGAGGGCAGCCCTGGCTGCCGCTCCATGCATCCTGCGGTGCCCTCCAGTGAGGGACACCCTCGGCAGCCTCTGCTTCCTCCTCATCCCTCCTCAACCGCCAGAGACAAAGGATGTCACCATGGCCTTGCGTTAGAGATGCCTTGTACACAACGTCCAGGAAATACACGGAAAAGCCGACTTTAGAGAGGTTATTAGCAGAAGGACCTTTCAAAGGAAGGGACTCGGTCTTTCCCGACTCACTTTTTCTGCCAAAGCTTCTTCCAGCGTGGTCAAGGCAGTGTCGGTATTTGTGGTGTCAGCCTGCAAGGATTTTACTCGGTCCTTTAAGCTGCTCATTTGCTTCTCCTTGTCTCTTAACTGTTCTTGAAGATTTTCAATCTTAAAGAAAGGAATAAATTTTAAGACAACAGCAAGTGAAACCATCCAAAACCATCTAGGAGTACATTAAACCCTTAAAAAAATTATCAAAGCAGAGGAAATCCTACATTAAAACACCAAGCAATGCAACCAAACCCATCAAATATTAACAATAAATCAGTAACCTTTCCAATAATCAGGGAAGAATTCAGAGCAAGAAACTCTAAATAATATTTACAAGAACAATATAAAGAAAGGGTGTTATTCCTAATACCCAAGGGTGTTTGGCACTGTGTGACTAAAGGAGGATCAATGTACTAACAACACTAAAGGAAAAAAAGCTGAGAAAAACATTACTGCATATGTAAACCAAAAAAGGCACTTGGTAATTAAGAAGTTGCGAAGAAGTATTATTTTAAGTTTTTCTTTTGGTATTGCCATAGTCTTCACTGTACTGGCATGTTGCTTTTTCGTGTCACATGGTGGTTTGCTATATGATAGACTAACACAAAGCACCATTCCCTGGGTAGAGAAATACATTAGCCTTGTTTTCTGTGGGTGTAGAACTCAACCAACTTAAGAGTTCTGCATGCATCTTTTGACAGACTGAGAAGACCTTAATGCTAAACCCATTTTATGCACACATACACATCACAAGACACATTAACATTATGATAACATGTTGAAAACAAAATTATCAGCAAAGGCTTAAACTGGGTACAGATCTCAGTTGCCTCCTTTTTGTTGTTGTTGCTGAGGAGTTCTTCTTGTATCAGCAAGCATACATCATAAACTGGTGAATGACACAAGGCATGTCAGGTACCTTTCTCCAAAACACTTATAACAAGATATTCTTTCAAAGGCATTTGGAAGAAATAATGTCACCAGACAACCCCAAAGGCTATCTAGTCCAGTATTTAGTACACTAAACAAAAGCATTAACCAGCCTTTTTGCTTCACCTGTTGAACAGCAGTTAGCAGCTCCTCGGTTAATGGAAATACAACAACTATCCCCCAGGTTTTACTCTTCAACCCTGGAAAAACTGAGCTGCTGTGATTATAAGAGCAAACGGCTACTTAGACACATCTACTACTACTTTGCTATCGCTATTAAAATTACATTTGGAACACAGTTTTAGAAAATGGTCTAGATCCATAATGATAAATGTAAAAGATTTTGCAGGAGACTGAACATCTAGTCACAAATAATGGTGGATGTGTTACAAGTGGAAGCTTTGCTAATGTTCCTCTGTAACGCATGGCCACGGAAGGAGTGTCCTGGTATAAGATTCTTCATACCAGTCTTTTTTATTTCTCTTATGCAAGCACATGTCAACTTTCAATCCAGCTTTGTACTACACATTCTATATATTACTGATAGCAGAAGAACTATGTAAGGTTTTTTGTTATTGTTTAAGGAATGGACTGAAATTGGTTTTGGTTTTTCTTTGTCATTAGTTTCTATTAGAAAAAAGTACTAGGCTTCCAAGTTATGCTTAAAATTAAAATATGGGCATAACACAAATGACACTCCAAAACAAATTTTAAAGACCACCAAAAAACCATAACCGGTGACATATCACAGGAGTCAGAAATAACTGTAAGAATTTAAAATTCCTTCTCTTATCTATTATTTAATGCTTTATTAGCATATGCTTGTAGCCTATGGAGCTTCAGAAAGAACCCTACTAGTTCCGACTGAAAAGTTCTGCTGGTGCCCACACGTACAGCTACTGAGGAGGCAACATTCCCAAGAGTAGCCTACGTGGCTGCTTTTGACCTTACAAGCTTTCAGTGTCGTCAGCTGTCTAGACAGGCTGGCTGTTTAGACAGCCAACCATGAAAATATACTACAAAGAAGGCTGAGCTATTCTTAGACTCGTGTTTACTTCTGGAGGCGAAACACTCTTGCAAAGGCTCCAACTGGCTGAAGAGGGGATAGTGCAGTGACTTTCTGCTGTGAGCAAACCACATAGAAGAGACAGCTAAATAATTCAGCTTCAGCATATATCAAGATGCTTGCCAAGGCAGCACAAGTATTTGCACAAGCACAGCATGCATGTTCATGTTTCAATAACGCTGTTTACTGTGACCAGAGTAAGACAGCTGTACGACAGTATTATATATGACTGCTGCATCTTCCCATTGCAACCACACCCTCCTGTATACAAAAAAATAATGTAATGTAACGCGTAGAAAGCGTGAACCTGTCTGTTCCTTCAGTCTATACGCACACTTTTCAGTCTGGAGTAATGAATGATGTTTTTTGTTATCATTCGGGGAACAGCAGGTAACACTGGAATGTTCTAAGTCATACTAACATCTAGGCACTACCTAAAAAACCCACTCTACTTACAACTGTGCCTTTTGCAGGGTCAGATAACTGAAAGCCCCCAAACAAGGACATGATCCTTAAACTACAGAAAATGGGAACTGGTGCAATGTATCAAAATTTAAACATTTGTACAATAAAAGATGCAAAATTTCCTTACAAAATCACAGTCAACAACAAAATAATTGCCTTTATTCAATTTTTCTCCCAAACCTGCACTACTATAACAAACAACAACTAAACTATAGGTTCTCCAAAATGTGTCTTTCCTCCACAACAAAAGATGAAATAAAATGCAACGGAATCTCCAAATCCTCTGGAAAGCATAAAGGGACAAGGATTGAATCAGCACTGTGTAGTATTGAAATATTCAGAAGATGACAAATCTCCTCTGAAATGTTCTACAAACCTAAGGAATATGTGTATTACTGCACTCTCTTTCTAAAAAAAAGGAAAATGAAAAAATATATGCTATTATTAGATTATTAACAATCTTTATTCTTGCAATATACACTTCTTTCGCAGGGTAAGGACAACGATCTATAAGTTAGCAACACTAAGCTTACTGTAAAGGTACACATACATATACTGGAATCGTCTGCTCTGCATACCAATTTTCTCATCAATAATGATTTACCAAAATACTTTTTTTCCAACATTACCAGTTGCAGGCTCTATCGTGCTTCAACCTGTGTGATTTATTCCTAGTTGTGTGGAACTAATTATTTTGCCTTCCAGCCCTGAAGCACAGGAGCAGAGAGGCAAGAGAAGTTTCCTCTGGCATTCTGTTCCAAAGGCAAGGAAGCATTCTACTTTTTTGCAATTACCAGTCTCACTGAAAACCCCAAGCAAATGCAAATTAAAAACAGCCCAAGGATTTAAACAAGAGGCATCTAATTTAATACCCATCAAAGCCACTAGATTCCCAAATTCCTCTAGTTAGAGGTTGCTAGTAGATCCTTCATATCATGCTTTGACCAAGAAATCCTTCTGTAGAACCATCGTCAATCCTAGGGTATGTGGAAATTGAACACTTGGAAAACAATTTTTATTGTACCAGTAACTTCCAAATAAGAATAAACCAAGTGGGTTTGTAAACTAGTCATTCAATCTCATTTTTTCCCCCACCCTGTTATTGGAAAAGAACCTTCTTCCTCCTTCAAAATATTTATTTTTAATCAAAGATGGACACTTTACAATGGTAACTTTTTTCATCACCTGGGTTGTAACAATGAACTGTGTTTATGTTTCATTTCCCACTTGAATTTTCTTCTTGCTACTCTGTTTGACTTGTAAAAGGAATAAAGTGGTGAAAGAAAAAAAAGTTCGAAGTGGTAAAAGCCCTTTAACTTAGTTCACTCCGAGTCAAAAAGAGAAAAGTGAAACAATCCTTTTAGAAATATGAAGAGTCAATAATGTTTCAAAATATTTTAAAAATCATAGAATCATAGAATCATTTTGGTTGGAAAAGACCTTTAAGATCATGTTAACCTAACACTACCAAGCCCACCACTAAACCATGTCCCTAAGCATCACATCTATATGTCTTTTGAACACCTCCAGGGATGGTGACTCCACCACCTCCCTGGGCAGCCTGTACCAGTGTCTAACCACTCTTTCAGTAAAGATATTTTTCCTAATATCCAATCTAAATCTCTCCTGGCACAGCTTGAGGTCATTACCTCTCATCCTGTCATTAGTTACTTGGGAGAAGAGACCAACATTGATCTCACTACAACTTCCTTTTAGGTAGCTGTAGAGAGCAGTAAGGTCTTCTCTCAGCCTCCTCTTCACTAGGCTAAACAATCAAACAATCAAACAATCCCAGTTCCCTCAGGTGATCCTCATAAGACATGTTTTCCAAACCCTCACCAGCTTCGTTGCCCTTCTCTGGACCCGCTCCAGGACCTCAACATCTTTCCTATACTGGGGCACCCAAAACTGGACACAGTACTCACGGTGTGGTCTCACCAGTGCCGGGTATAGGGGCACAATCACTTCCCTACTCCTGCTGCTCACACCGTTTCTGACACAGGCCAGGATGCTGTCGGCCTTCTTGGCCACCTGGGCACACTGATGGCTCATGTTCAGCCAGCTGCTGACCAGCACCCCCAGGTCCTTTTCTGCCAGGCAGCTTTCCAGCCACTCTTCCCAAAGCCTGTAGCGCTGCATGGGGTTGTTGTGACCCAAGTGCAGGACCCGGCACTTGGACTTGTTAAACTTCATACAATTGGCCTCAGCCCGTCGATCCAGCCAGTCCAGATCCCTCTGCAGAGCCTCTCTACCCTCGAGCAGACCAACACTCCTGCTTAATTTCGTGTCATCTGCAAACTTGCTGAGGGTGCACTCAATCCCCTCATCCAGGTCGTTGGTAAAGACATTAAACAAGACGTGCCCCAGTACTGAGCCCTGGGGAACACCGCT